TAATGTTTTCACAGATTCATAAATACCCGAAAAATACATTATTATCGATCTTTCTTTGTGCATCATTTTTATTGTCGTACTTGTAGTAAGCATCATATATCTTGGACATAAATCGAAAAATTTGCGTGTATTTTCAGCTAGTTTACCAACTTCAGGGGGACTGGACGATAAGATTTGTTTAAGCCTTTTTCGATTTTCACATTGATAAATCAAAGTTTCTTCTTTTGCTTTCTACATTATGAAGTTTTTACATTCACTGTAGAGTCAACAATGTTTCCCAAGGAATATAATATTTACCTTTACTTTATCGCTCACTTCGCGTATAAGACCATCGAGATTTTTGACCTTCAAAATTTGTTTTTTCACCCATTTCTCTTTTTTATCTATACTCGAAATATCAATTTTATTCGAGATAAATGAGGAATTTTCAAACGATTTCACACCGATATGCGGCAAACTGAAACCTTCTAACGATTGCGTGCCCAATTCGGATGTTTCATCGTACGATCTTAGTTCCTCCAAAGTGTTTATCGTATTGTCGATATCTGCTTTTACGTATATTATTTATAATTCTAATCCTATATAATCGTAATATACAATACGTTTCATACAAATTGTTACAAGCTATATTTTCAAGAACTATCACAGGCAGTGATACATTTTTTCTTTATACTTCAACAAAAGATAAAAAAAAGAATTCTGCCAATAATACTTTTCATCATAGTCCTATAAAAAGTAGGATTATAACATTTTGCACGAAACGTCGTGTACATATAACAAAAAAAAAAAAAAAATAGACAAGAACACGCGAACTACATTTCATATTTTGCGGAAATGCAGAGATATACATTGGAAGAGAGATCATTTAGAAGACATTTAAATAACTACTCTAAACTAATGATTTACATAAATACAAGAGACACATAACCCTGGCGCTTCTAAATAAAAATACTCTTTCTTAAAAATACAATAACGCCGACAAAATTATCTTAGCGTGTGTCAGCATTTGTTTGACTCTTCTTTAGCGGCATTACTTGTATCGTGTAATACGAAACTACCTCTTTTCGCTTTCCACGATATTTCCGTGTTCTCTACCTCATCATCTTCGGTATACAAATCAGAAAAATTATCGTCTTTCGCGATACAAACATCAGATGATTGCGGTATGGAAAAACGTTGCACCTCGTGAGATTCTGCTGACGATGGACCCGCTAATTGCTCGAACGACGCGGAGGGTTTATCGAATTTTGACGTGGTTTTGGATACTGTTTGTTTTTTTGTAATACTATTTATAGAGGAATCGGCGGAATGGATCAACCTTGTTTTGCTTTCAGAGGAAAGGGGCGAACGAGATCGTCTCCTCTCAAGGCTGTGGTTAGCAGAAGAGGCACGCGACGATTGATTACTATTTATTTTGCGACGTGATCTTGACTTTGTTTTGTAATCTTCTTCGTCGCTGCTACCCTCCGTGTATAGTTCCTCACCTGATATCCATAATTCTTCTTCTTCCTATAAAGTACAGATTGCATTCGTTTAAGTTGAGAACCTCTGTCGTAATTTATTCTACGATATACTGTATCTATGTGCGAATACTAGAACGTTTCATGATTTGAATACTAATAGGAAACTCCGTAGAATTTGTGACATAGGACATAAATAGAAATGGAAATCTCACCTGTATTTTAATTCTGGCAAGTTGTGACTGCACCGCGGTTCTTGCGGATTGCTCCTGCGATTTTAGGTTGGTCGTTGTTTTATTGGCCATTCTATCCCTAAGCGAAACACGATGAAAACGATGAGTATATTTAGCATTTGTAGGATCATCAACGAAAGGTCGGATCAAAGGGCCAACCGAGGCGTGTAATTGTGAACCTTTTCTTTCGATATGTTAAACACCGGTGACGATATCTTTGAAACTCTAAAGAATAGAAAATCTACGTGAAAAAATTAACTGCGACTGCGTTCATAGAATTTAACAAATGGTCACTTTTTTCACGCAATTCGATCGATTCAAAACGCTGTAGATTAAAAGACCTTGAACTAGAAAATCTAGTGCAATGGTGACCCAGGTCAAGGTTACGAGCTACGACAACAAAGCATGGTCTCGAAATTTACGATCATTCAAAATTACTATGACTTGAAACTTCTAACGCGCAATTATTGTTGTCGATGCATTATGACCGTTATTATGTTTCAAGGATATTTATGTCAACATAAATCTCAATGGCTTTTGATAACGATGTTTTCAAAATCGGCGTCAAGATTTTTTCTATTGCGACATTTCATATAAAAAAAGCGCCTAATATAATAAATTGCGTCAAACGCATATAGACTGATGGTGACTTAATGTTTTCATAGACATTCATGCTATTAAAATATTTATTTCATTAAGTTTTCATGTAATTTACGAGGAATTATCAAGAGTATTTGATCATTTGAAGGACTTATAGAATTTTAAAATTTTACCTCGAGTTTGCCGATAAGACACCGTGATGTATAACAAGATTCACGTGGCAATTTTTTGTACCTTTCGTGATTATGCAATGACTTTTAATGACAGGTGTTATCAGAATGCATTCTCGCAGATTTGATCTGATCAATAAATATTTAATTCTTTCGAAATATTTTTACTACATTTTTATTGAGACGCGTTTCGCTGGTTTACTATCTTTAAAATTGATTCACCAACAATAACTTTTGTCGTTTAGTATTCTACGTTGTTAGGAAGATCTCGTAAGCTGCACGAGACACTGCAAACTGGCTTTGAAATTGCGATAGCAGCGGCGCCTACGGTCTGATACAGCTCGGTATATAAATAAATGCCTTACCTCGCTTGCGCGATGGACCATGTGCTTTCTTACTGTCACTGTGATCCGATTTTTTTTTTTAAATATTCTTACTCACGGTTTAATCGACAGGAAGGAAGGAAGGCAAGACGCTAAGGACGCCCACTTGTGTTCGAAAAATAATTTCAGAATACCAGAGGCTTATATAAAAGGGCAAAAATACTGTTCTATATTTGTCAACAATGATCCTTATTGTATGAGTATTCTATAACACTAATATCATTATGAAATTACGCTCTTTAGAATGAAAACAAGTAATCACAATCCGTGCAATCACAAAGGTGTAGGTTTGATACAAGTAGGATCCATGAATGTAATATTCTCGGGAAAATGGTCCATGATCATAAACCTTTTTTCACTGGGTTCGGTTAAATTGTCTAAGAATCCAAACCAGTAGATAACAAGTCCTGGACCAAATCTGTTCCAATAGCTCAGAAATTGTTTCTTGATATACTTTTGATGTATCTCCATATTGCCAAATCGTGCCTTAGATTCTATCCAGTTGATTACAAAACCATTTACCGCGATTGGCACTTCCAGTTTAAAATCTGGGGTTTTGTCATATCCCCTTGATCGTAGGTGTTCTTCATTACGAAATGCGAGATTCCTTTCCGTCAGGTAGTCTTGTAGTTTCAATTCATATTCTTGACCTACTGAACTAAAAGTTTTATTTACAAAAATTTGTATAATCAGACTGTGTTTGATGGGCAATATTAAAATACATACACTCCAATAGCATCTGCTATAGGTCCATATAAATTATCATATAATATACACTATAAAAAGAAGTATATATTTTTAGTAATGTTAAAATGGTTCATCCTTATTTATTTAGTTATTAATAAGCCATTCAATTATTACCAAGTAGACCTCATATGCAAGGTCCTTGTCCTGAATGAGAGTAGTATCCTTAAATAATTTGCTAACATCATTTCGGGAAACTAAAAACATTATCTTATGTAGTCTAGAAATACTTGTAACAAGTTGTTTAAAATGATATGAAGATTACCATTAGGATCATCTCGTCCACAATGTTTTTCAAGAACATTTCTAGCTAATAATGCAGGTGGTGCATCAATGTCCTTTGCCATTTTTAGTAAAATTCCAACAGGTTCTCCATTTTGTACAGCTTCCGTGTAACTATTGTTAAAATGATATAATAATACTGATACAATTACATAATAATTAACATGTGTACTACAGTGTATGCTTACGTATCATAATAGTTTTTATTGTTGCCAAATAATTTGCTATGATTGACTTTCATTTTATGTTGTAATTCTAAGGACAGTATGCTGTACAGTGTATTTACTGGAATGCTAAATAAAAGGAAGATAAATATGTATTCGTTCGTGACAGGCAATTAAATTATACAGGTTTTTAAATAGAAATAAACTTACTCGCTATATTTCTCTTTCAACAAATCTCTACAATCCTTCGACAAACCACGAAATTTTCGAATTGTTGTCACTATGTCATTGTACACGTCGAGCTTCATATTTAATTTTTATTTGACAATCTTTTGATAATAAATTTCCTTTAATTCTGTTAACTTTGTGCCATTCTTAAGACACAAAAGTAATTATTATGTTTATGTTGATACTGTTCTAAACAAATGTCAACCATTGATATTTACTATCACAGAACTGTATTCACTTTGCTCCTATCACTTATTTGAAGTTTGCTCTTAATTTAATTGGGGGAAATTTTAATTTATCATTCTAAGCATTTCACTATTCTATTCGTTTCTTTTTATTTGAAAAGACATCCATGTGTGTAAATTGTCATTATTATTTATACAAATAAAGATTATATTTATACACACAAAAATGTCTATATATGTATATCGGACGATAAGTTGTGATGGCTACTTTCACTTTAAGATAAATGTGAAGTTTGGTACATGCATACTTATTTATTACTTTGATTTGATTTATTTCTTTCGTAACATGTAGTATACTATAATAAAAGGAAAAATACAAATAGAGTAATTTTCATTGTTACGAGACATTTCAAGGTTAGCGTGAATTGGTATTGTGTAAATATACATGAAATGCACGGTAGTTTGTTTACGTTTAACCTCTAAGTATTATCAACTTGTTTATCAGTCTTATATCTTAAGTTCGGAAGAATTATGAATAAAAGAAATAAATCAACGATGAAACACAGTATACGGCACCAAAATAAGAATATTGACAATACTGAAGATGGTACTAAATTTGTTTTTTTTTTTAAGTAGAAAATCTGTACAATGGAGTCAATTTAGATTGATATGTATACATTTTTTGTTTTAGCACCGGTTGAGAAGATTGTGAAAGTTAACATAGGAAATGAATCACCTCAGTATTCTTCCGATTCACATTTCTCTGGACATAGTACTCCTATTCATAAGAAGATTTATGCAAATAATATAGAAGATTCTCCTGAACTTAACTATCATTACAGTCCAATTTCTCTTCCTTGCACTCAAGATGGTGGTAATGAAATTGCATGGGATTGGCAAAGTTCTGGTGCTAAACATTCTAATGATAAGACTAAATCAGAGAGCAATCTTATAGAAACTCCCAAACGAACTAAACAATTGCAAAAGAAACGAAACTCTAATTCTCCTTTATTACACAAACCACTTAAAAGAAAGCAGGTAAAGATGGAAAATATAGAAAATATTGGGAAACTGACAGCTGAATTGAAAGCCTTAAGTGAGAGGATGAAAAATATGCAACAGAATTCTAAAGATCATACTTCTGCAAGAGTAGAGAATGAAGAATGCAAAGATCAAAGTGTATTATTGATAGATTTGTTAGTTGAAGAAAAGGACAATGAAATGTCAGAAGTCAATGCCAATAATGATAAGGTGAAAATAGATGATATTATCACTGTTAATAACAACAAAAAAGATTCAAATTATGAAGATTTGTTTGATGATTCAATTGATGATTCAATGGTAAAATGCACTCAAGAAATTGAAGAAAAGTTGAATCTGTGTAAGAATGAAGGAGATAATGTAATGGAATCAGTCGCTGTGATCAAAGAAAAAGAATACTCTTCCACATCTGAAAATGAGATTCGATGTTTGACAACATCGAATAGCTCTACAGGAAGTTTCATGAATTCTAAGAGTACTTTATCAGTTAATACAAGTAGTTGTTTGAAAACATATTCATACAATTCAGGAAAATCGAATTCTACTTCTAGTGTTTTGTCTTCAAGTGGGAAAGATACAAGTTTCCGAAAGCCAAATTTTAATGATAGTTTTACAAATGCACAAAATAGGAAAAGAACATTGGAAAAGAAAGATATGTTAGAGTTTCCAGATGATTCATTCGACGATTGTTTAGCAACTTGTTTGGAAGATGATAAAGAAATATCAAAATTGTCAGAATATAATTTCAATTGTTCAAATACAAACTGTAATTCGGATAATTCTAGGAAGGTTTCTAAAAAAACTACTTCTAGTACAATGGATTTTTCACATAAAAGTAAATCCAGTAGATCAGAAAATTCCAAGTTCTTTATTAGCGACGATTTGGTAGAGGATATCGAAGCTAAAGATTATAAAGAACAAATACAAAAATCCTTTGCAGGCAAGAGTGCTTTGGAAAGTAGAAAATTTTTCAAAACAAAAAGCTTATCAGATCAATATATTTATCACAATAAAATCTGCAATGCGAATAATAAAAAGGGTAAAACTGTCTTACCACCCCAAAAGAAATTTTCATCAAATTTAATTAGTTCATCAGTAAGAACTAATTTTCCCACTGTAAAAAATCAGAGTTTACATGAGCATAACAATGTCACTACTACGGAAAGTGCACGTGAATTCAACAGATTCGAAGAGAAGGAACGCGGTAATTGTAACATTAAATATAAGTCTACTAGTAATTTATGTAACATAAAAGAGGTTGCAAAGGAGTCCCAGTCTGTACAATGTACTCCCGAAGAAATAGAAAGAAAGCGATTAGAAGCAAAAATGAAATTAGAAGCGAAACGAAAGTTACAGCAAAACACGAGGTTAACTCAATCCGAAGTTCTAGTAAAAAAGTCCGTGGAAAGGTGATAATCTTTGATAAAATAAAACACTGCCACCACGTTCCACAATGCTGGGCTGTTTTATTTACAAGTACTCGAGAATTTATAATACACATCTTTGTGATTGCTAAAATAACTGTGTATTGTTAAAATAAATGCGAAGATACTGATTTTAATTACTGTTAGAAATTATGTCAATAGTTTTGAAATAGAAGTAAGTTATAGTTACTAGTACAATTACTATTACTTTACAAAATATATAATTGTCAATGCTAACCATGTCGACATGTGTATATGTTATATTAATTCTTACATCGTATATTTATTTGATTGTAATATGTATCGCAAAATATGTGCCTTAACATGGAATGAATGTAAACATTCAAATAAATGATAGCTATCTAAATCTATCATTCACTGAAATAAGTTCGATTTAAAGTTGTCGTTCACCAAGTCTGTTTAAATTTGGCGCTCTAAACCGGAAGTCCCGAATAAAAATTTAGACGCGGCTGAAAGTGCTCTATTGACTAGAGTGGTGCCACCTATGGCTTGGTGAAGTTCGTATTCAACTAGTATTCGTCGAAAAACAAACTTTTTACATATCAAACACTGTTTTTCGACTCAATTAGTTTACGAAACGTTTACTACACGGGTATTTTACACTTTTTGTAACTTTCATTGTATAGTAATGGGTATTAGTTGAGAAAAAGATGTATCAAGATTCATCGAACTCTGGGGGTGCCGATTCAGCGATGTCCTTCGGCACACATTCCATTGCAAAATGGTAAGAAATTCGTAATATTTGACAAAATCTTGTACCCAACTCTAGATAGATAATCTCCCATCGAAACAAATTACTGCTGTTCGGATAGATATATGTATGA